TGCTCCTGATGGATCCTCTGCATCTTTTCAGTATCCACCAACGACTTTGGTTGGGGTTTTTTTGAGCAGTGTCCTAAATGGTGAACACTGGTGGGTACCACAAGGGGTGGCTGCATTGCCTAGCCACTTGAGGTCAGCAGAGTGACAGCAGAAGGCTGGGACTGGCCCTTCCACTAACCTGACTAAGGCTGGTCAGTGTAAGTGGGCAAGGTCCTAGCTTTGAAAATTCCAGAAATGCTCTATTTCTTCCGAGCACCCATGGTTTCCCACCTCTGAGGGCAACCGAATGGCTGAGCTTTCTGCCAAAGAGGCCCCAAGCTGCCCAGCACAACACTGCTGCTCTTAGCCTTGTAGTTCGCACGGTGCGTAAGGGGGGGCCGCTCTGCCTGCACTCATGCCCATTGCCAGGTGAACGGATCACCTGCCACCGCAGATACAGCTGACTTCACTTATTAAAACCAAAATTGAATTATTTCTCACTTCTTAAAGGACAGACAGTTTTGCAAAACCCAGACAACTCCCCTGTCTCTGAAACCTGCTGCACTAGTCACCGTTAAAGCTTTGCCATTCTGTTTGCTGATTTTGGGCATGTCAGTTCAAATCCGATTGGGAGACAGTCATGTTTTCATCTGGAGCATTTTAAACTGGCCACAGTCAGGGTCAGGTCTCTGAACTAATTCACCCAAGCCAGCATAGCAATACCAATTTTCTTGTAACTGTTGGATGATCTGTTTCTATAATCTTAATCTGTATAATCCTTTAAATTATTTTTAGATGCTCCTTTGGGGAATTTCTTGACCTAGCACACACATTGCTTGGGAATTCATTGTATTAAATATTACCTCTTTATAATAAGGAAAACCTTTGCTTTACTTTGGTATGTTTGTGATCATTTTTCTTCAGGGGCCTTAATAGAACAGGTTTCTCCTAGATACTAGGGGCCAAAGAATCTCCTGTCATCACCTACCCACAGGCAGTTTTGTCTCCAGAGGTAGTTATGCTCCTGGCAGGGGGACAGGGGAGGCAGGACGCCTGCAATTGTACTGCCAGCCTCAGCAGTCCAGGGGTGACCCAGGCGTGGGTGTTGATGCCCGGCAGGGCACGTGGAGAGGCAGCTGTATGTGCTCCATGCTAAGGGCATAGGGAAGGGGTGCGAAGGCACATTCAGGGAGGATACCAGTGCAAGTACTTTTAATTAGCTCAGCTAATTACTTGAGGTCTTCGCCTTCTGCCAGTGTACATTTTCCAGTGGTCAGTGACTTGGTGCTGTAGAACAATGTGTGCATGGACAGGGTAGGCAAAGGCCTTATGTGCTACTTAATTTCCATTTCCAATAAAGGAATTAAGTGATCCTTAGAGTCTTCAGCTGTAACTTAATGCTGCTTGTCAGCACGATTTTATACACACAAGTAAACTTACGTTTTGGCTCATAGCTTTAGAGCATGTCTAGATCTGTCGAGTCTTTGCTTCTAGGGAGATAAACTACGAAGGAATGTAGGGCATTATTTTTTTATATATACATATATTTTAAAAGTATCGAGCACAGGGCATGTGACAGTTCTAACCTTGTTACCAGTGTGTAGATAATGTTGGCTATTTTTTTCCCCCAGGCTATTTATAGTTCTTTGCTGCTTTTCTCTTATTTCATCCGTACCATTCAATGTTTTCCAGCAGCACAGACTAATAATGGATTAGGCTGAGGTTATTACAGATCCCAGCTGATGCAACGCAGCACGCTTCTCACTTACCGCTTTCGGGGGCTGCAGGTCTGATTTATGCTGGCACGGGACCTCTTCCGTAGCTCTGTGTGTACCAATATGTCTCAATGTATTCTTGATTTCTCTGATGTAAAGCTGAAAATGGATATAAAAACTTTTATTCTTTGGGGCTTTTTTCCTGCTAAAAAAAACAACCCACCTCTCCACTCCCATCCCCCCAAACCATCAGCAGTGGATTCTGTCTAGATGCATTCAGGATGTAGGTCAAGTAAGTGAATGATACTAATTGCTACGTTGGGAGGGATTTCCACTGAGTATTTGGGCTCTAGATTCTAGCTAATGCCAAGAGGCCATTGTACAAAGCCCACGCAGCTAAGAACAGAAGTATATGGAGTATTTTTATACTCTTGGTGACAAAAATATTTCTTTCTCAAGTCACTAATTAGAAAGGGAACATTTTGTGTTCTGAAGGTGAAATGGTAGGTCAGTACTTTGTAACTACAAAAGTTATACTCGCCTGTGTAAGTAGCAGAGTGCTGTGATGCGCTGCTGCTTTGCACTAGAGTGTTGAGGATAAGCAACTTTGGGCGTTGCAGAGATGAATGAGCTGGCTTACGTGGTAAGCTCTTTACAAATAAGAAGAGCTCAGTCAGTGGGCCAGGATACTGTAGCTTTCTCATGGCCAATAAAATGACAGTGAACATTCAGGGGTATGTTGAGGGTGTGGTAACAGTTTCACCTTCATTGCTTAGGTGATCAGCATCCATTGGAGACTCCAGGATTGAGAGGAAAATTGCCATTTTCTTTTGTGGTGTTGGTGTCAGGGCTTTTTTCTGCTTTACCAGGTTATATACCTGAACTGACATATAAAAGAGCACATCTCACAGGAAACGCTCATTTGTGATGCTGAAACAGTTTTGCTGTTCTTTATGAGCAGTAGTCTCTTCTCTGCCCTAAAGCCCATCTCCAAACTCTTCCTCTAAGAGTTGGAACTGAGTAGGTGAGAACAAAACATGGGAAAGCTGGATGTGTAGACCTGTCTTACAGAAGAGATGAAAGAAATGGCCAATGATGATGGGACTCCTGACATCACAGGGAAACTTCCTAGTTCTTGATTCCATAAATCAGCAGTGATAGTCTTTTCATAGTTCCCTCCTTGTTTTAGCTTTACTCCTCCCCTTGCTCTTTCGTATTACGCAGTCCTGTTTATGCATATCTGACCTTTGTGGTATATGCCATTTTTCCTTTCCACCAGCAGGTAAAACTCTCTTTGAACTTTAGCAGCCCATAATTAAGGTAGAGAGAGGGAAAGCAGAGGCAAGC